CGGCGGGAAAACTTCTTTCCAATACGAATTCACTGATATAATTTTTGCTCTCGCCGCAATCGGTCTTGGTAGTTAAATTTACGGTCAAAGTTAAAGCACGTGGATAGAGGAAGCACTACATTGTGAAATGGAGGGAGTATTAGTCCTATCACACAGCCATGATATTTCTTCTCAAGTCCATCTGATTATGTAGCTACAATCATTACAAGAGGATTCTGAAATCCATTTTTTTTCTTTCGAAAAGGAGGGACTCCCCGGCCTCTGCATCAGAGCGATGCATACGGCCACAGGATTCTGAAATCCATGGGTTCAGTACTTCATTAGCTCACCTTCCCCGCCGGTGAGAGGTGCAGCTTATGCATAGGGTTTATTGTCGATTTTCAGTGAAAAAAAGCAAATACAAAATTTGTTTTTTGTAGGGTTTATTGTTCTTCCAGTGCCGCGTATATTAGAGAAAAACTGAAAATGCATGATTCGGTTGACAGTGCTGTGGGTGTTGCAGAAAATATGATAGTAAGTCTATTCTGGTTTGTTGTTGTTCAGTGAAAATCTTGCATCCAGATTGCGCTTTTGGCATCTTGGTGGCTCCATGTTCAAAATGTGTAGTCATTGTCTTGCTGCTGAACAGACACAGTGCCTATTTTCTGATCCTACTTTGAGCTTTAGTTTTACAAATCTGAAATTCGATCCTAAAGATGCCGCTTAAATTTGAAACATCTAGTCGTATTAATTTAAAGGACTGCCGCATCTAGGAGTACATGAAAGGGGGTTAATGGAAAGGGGTGCTCTGGATTTGGATGTATTTCCGGTATGCTTAATGGAAAGGGGGTTAGCCCGGTTCAAATAAATAAACAAATCAAGGAGTACACGAACAAAATTCTCATAATGAAAATCAGGTACTTCCAAATGGTGCGCAATTGGTGTGTATCGTTAAACATGCGTGGAGAGAAAAAGGCTTACAACAACATATGGGGCCAGTTCTTTTCACCTCTGGCTTATGAAGAAGCCACTGTGGAAATAAGCCCCAGACAAGCCGTTGTGGAAATAAGCCCAGTGAGAATAAGCCATCCAGTTTTTTTTAGCCTCTGTGCATTTAGCTTATTTTCTATATACCCAATAAAAAGTCTGTAATACCCCCTAAATTTTTTTTGTTGAAATAATAATTGGGTTATTTTGTATTGTTTAGCCGCACATACGAACATAAAATTTATTTTGAAACATCGCTAAATTGTAACAAGTCCACATAAGGAAGATCATTGTCGCACATACGGAAAAAACTCGTCTGTAGTACTTGAGAAGAAAGAAAGATATTCTAAATATTACATGGTTCTCCCAACAAAAGCATACACAATAAAGCTATTCATCAAGGAAAGACACTCGCAGCAATAGCATCTCGTACACTTCCCATATTGCCTTCATCATAGGGGGCAAAGTGATGAGAAGCGCTCTCCTCGTGAACATAGGATCCATTCTCAACTATATCAAAATGCTCATCAGGTAGTTTGCTCTCACGGATGTAGTTATGAAGACAAGTACATGCAGTAATTATCATTGTTTGTGTTTCAACTTTGTAACGCCTAATGCCAAGAAAGATTCGCCATTTCATCTTGAGAACACCAAAAGTTCTTTCGATGACGTTTCGTAGTGAGGAATGTAGATGATTAAAGGTCTCATTTCTTCCTCGTGGAGTTACTTGTTGGAAATCAGGTACATGGTACCGTTGTCCTTTGTATGGTGCTAGATAGCCATCTCTGTTTGGATAGCCTGAGTCAACAAGATAGTATTTTCCTATACAGGGAACAAAAATACAATGAAGAGCGGTAATTTAAAGCAAAAGGCTAGTGTAAAAAAATGCATGTACGAGTAATTACCATTCGGAGGGTGTGGAAAACTGGGATATTCAGCTCGTGCATCAGCCCATACACGGGTGTCATGAACAGATCCAGGCCATCCAGCAACAACAAAAATGAACCTCATATCAAAATCACATATTGCCATGACATTCTGAGTGGTGACACCTTTTCTGTTCCGATATTTGGGCTGCTCTTTTTCCGGCACAATACAAGGTATGTGTGTTCCATCTATGGCCCCAATGGCATCCTTGAAGTGAGGCCAAATTCTTGGTTTTTTAAGCGAGTCGTGAACTTGGGTGAAAGTTTCATCTTTGGGTCGTAGGTAATCACCAGCCATACGATATACACACCTTAAAACCTCTTTAAACTTTTTGTTAATTGTAGACCGACTGTGTTCAAATCGATCCGCAATATTGTCGGTGGTCTGGCATGTCCCCAAAGTCCATAAAAATAGTGCTAACGCTTCTTTACTTGACATGTTGCAAGTTGACTTTAAACCATATTTCTCAACTAGCATGTCATGCAATGGATAAAACACTGACCTCCGCATCCTAAACATTGAATAGAATGCTTTTGGATTCATCTCTTTCTCTTGCACCCATTGCAACCCCGTCATCATTGGTGCTCTTCTAGGTGCATAGGGCACCCTCTCTTTGTTTTGAAGATAATGTGCCATTGCAAGAATGCAGAAATCTAATTCTTCATCTTCATCCTCAACAGAGATATCCATCTGTCATATAAAGAACACAATATAGATGCATTATAATTTGGTACACAATAAAACAAAATAATTTGAGCCGTCAAACATGATACATGGCTTTAAAAATGAGTAGAAAAAAGATCCATGATGCATACGAATTGATGACAAACAATCCACTTTCCCTATATTACAATCTGAGTGCAAACAAGAGGTTCCAAACAAAACATAGGTTCACGACAGTACAAGTCGATAGCAAGTAATTTTGTTCAAAGAAAATAACATCACAGAAGTTCTAATCTTTTTTCATAAAGAGATCCCATGTTCTCTTGATCCATTCAAGCCTCACACTAGCAGTCTCATCCTTGAGGGCACTGAACACATCACGATGTTCCTTCTTCGTAAACAGTTGTAGAGCATAGAAATACACATCACTTCCAGGACGACCTCCATCGTTCACCACCATGGTCGTCATCTCTTTTATCTCATCTCTCACATGATCCACATTTGTTTGAGACATCGCCAAATTGCGGCTAATCTCCCTCCTCTCCCAAAGGTCAACCATACGGTTAAATACCATTTTATCATCACTATCTTTTGCCGCCTTTTGGACCATCTTGGGACTCGGTGAATAAGGACATGATCTCTTCTATCGACCTTTAGATGAAACATTGGTGGGTGTAACTTGGTTAACATCTAACTCACATCCCGAGCCGTCCTCATTACCCTCTTCAATGTTAATTTGAGAAGCATCAACTTGAGACGAGGGAGTTGCGACCCTTGCATATGCATTCGTCACACTATGGTCATCAAATATAAAACTCATTCTTTGCTCATCAACTAATGGAGCATATCGGAACTTGGCGGCAATCTCATTCCTCTGCAGAAAAATCACACAAATAAATTAATTAAGAAATTGGATGGCAAAGTAACAAGTAAAAGTAATATGAATGCTTCAATACCTGTATCTCATTCGCCCACCATTCATCGGTAGCCGCAATGCTCCTAGTAACAGGATCTATTCCAATGCCAGATGCCTTTTGGTTCAACGTCTTCCAACAATTGTACTCTTTTTTAAGTAAATCCCACCTATTCTTGAATTGCTTGCGACCATAATTTCTGTTTATCCGCTCATTGAACTTCCTTATCATATTTTCATACACAATTGGGCTCAAATGTCCATCAGAACGGTTATTTGCATTCACTTCTTCAACACAAATGTCAAGGAAAATTTTATGGGCAACAGGATCCCAATTTGCTTTCCCAGATTTACCTTTATCCATCTATCATAAAATGAATGTTACAATTTTAATCAAATAGCGCATACCCCATACCCCCATACCACATAACACGTAGCAGAAATAAAATCCCACTATGTATTTAATAAAAAATTAGCTCACTGCCACAACACCAAATTCATACATGACAAAGTATTTTTGGTCATACAAATACACGTGCATAGCAATCAGTGTACAATTAGAAGTGCTACTCGTACTACGAGCAATCGATTAGCAACACCAAGATAATACTTGCACATCGCTGGACGATCTTCGCTTTGATCTTTATAGTGCTAGTACTAACATACACGTAGATCACTCGGCCGATTGCCACAGGAGCGTATCTATAGGAGCAATCCTACCCGGTGATAATTGTTCAAACCTACACAGACACATACACATGTATTGCACCGGACCCAGATACACTCATAACATCATGCATCACATGCAGATCAGGAAAGAAGTCCGGAGCAGAAAGATAAGAGGACAGACGGTGCTTACCTTGGTAAGAGCTTGGACGGGGACGATCGGACTGGAGCTTGCCGTGAAGATGGGAGTAGCTAGTGTGCAGGACGGAAGTGCAGCAGGACGGGAAGCAGCAGAGGGACGGGCGGAGGCCAGCGATTGCGACGTTGGTTAACCTCCCTGCATGGCGTCAGGAAGGACGACGGCGGCGGCGGCTAGCTGGACAAGAGGCGGCGGCAAGGAAACCTAGCAGACGCCCGAAGCGGATGATGCGTCGGGAGAGATGGCTTCGATGCCTGGAGTTATATCTTTCGCGGGTTGCATTTCTCTCGTAAATACTGCCAACGCGGAGGGCATAGCGATGTACCGCTTCAATTTTTAAAGGGCTGCGCTCGGGAAGCTGCTCTCTCTCGGCTTCTCCCAAACATGAAGGGACCGGCTGTGGCCGGAAATTAAGCCGAATACAAAAAAACGAGTTCTTTTCAGCTTGTGCTTATTTTCCACCATAAGTCGTCCATAAGCCAGAAAAGAACTGAGCCATGATTACGCTTTGCATGAAAACCAAGTCTTGCAACCACAATGATGACATAACAGGAGAGAGTTGCAACCAACAGATTCAAGAAACAGTACAAAATAGCAAAGGATGGTTACCACAAACGAGAGCAGCCAGCAGCAGACTCAATGGCCATCACATAGTACATGAGATATTCAGAGCAAACTGTCGCCCTTGTGTGGCAATCGCCTACAGAAGTTCCAAGCGAATGACGGCGTCTTCCGTCGAAGCTTGGGGTGCCTCATGGTGTAGAGTCCAACCATCGCGGCGACAACTTTCCACGGTGTAAAACACAGCGTAACGGCTGCTGCTAAAGTAAACAGCCCAAATACTGCTGTTGCTGTAGGATCCCTCCATGTTGTCAATGCAGTGATCCTCTCGCCACATGCTGCTACATCTCCCATGACCGTCTGTATCCTGCTGGCAACGCACCTCAGCCTATCATACCTCATCATTGTTAAACTAGAGCTCCGAGAAGTTGGGAAGGTATCAAATTCCTCGTTGAGCTCATCTGGGTGTACAGTGTCTGTTAAAGATATCTTGATGTCGACGTGGGAAGGATGAGTAGGGCGATGCCGGTAGTTCCATACTATACTGAAGAAGGTAAATAGGAGTGTTGACGGGAGTATGAATTGATGGAACATAAGAGCTAAGAGGAAAACAGCATGGACCAGCAAAGTGATCGCGGGGTTCTCCCATGAACAAACATAGAGAAACCGCCGCCAAAATGTGATAAAAATTGAGAGGGCAGACATGATCCTGTAGAAGTTGACCTTGCTTTTCCGCATGCTCCACAAGTGGCTTTGCACATCACACATGTATTCCACTGCTTCCTTGCATAGGGGTGGATCCATCTGGCTCAGTCGGAATGCCACAATCTGGACAGCATGGAACTGCAGATCTTCTATCAGAATCTGCAGTGGGTCTCGATGGTGCATCTTTGGTAGATTGGGGGAGCCATACATACGCACCATGTTCGTTAATGATTTTGACGTAAATCTCACCGACAGGCACAGTTCACCCATTTTCTTCACACCTGAAGGCTGCAGAACAAGAAGAGGGTATGCATGACAATATATCCGACCAGGTTGGAGATGGGAAAGATGTATCCTTATTTTCCCTATGTTGACACCCTTGTACGCTCCTGAACTTGACTCTTCCACCTGGGCATTGTCAAACACTCCAACGATCAGGGCTGTTGCTGTATCATAAACATCCCATGAGTACTGCTCTTGGAATAAAGGGTCACGGTTGTTGATGATGGTACGAGTTCGTACCCACTTCCGGCCGTATCTCACCACACAATATGGATGCGACGAAAATCTCCCATCTTTCCTTTTTATAGGAGGCAGACCCCGAGCTCCAATGATGCCAACCTCAAGCAAGCCAACAAGTGGAGGATTTGAGATTTCATCCGTGTGGTCTCCAGAGCCATAGTGGGCACCGTATTCACTGTCGAGGCAGGTAGTGAGATGAATGCGGCACGATGGCACGGTCAAGTCATCCCCAGCACCATTGGCAACTGCTGCATTGGGTGGAACTTGAAGATCATGCCATTGATGCTCGAGTTTGGCAGACGACAAACCTCCAACTCGATGCTGAACTGTTTGCACGGGTATGATGATTCGGCCGACAACCTTGTCTCTGCCAGGCCCTAGATGTGCTTGGATAGATATTTGAAGGTCATCCTCAAATGGCTCTGCAGCAATGAATGTCAGTTCTTCATCCCAGACATAATGGGCTAGTGGCTTCTTCATTCTCTTCATCGTCTTTCGCTGACCACCTACCACCACTGTGACATATGCCTCTACAATTTTGCTTCCACATGCTAGAGCAATACATTTGAACTCAATTATATGGACCCGCAGACACCACAGCCTGGGTAAGCTATACACTTTGGGCACAATGTGCGGTCGCACAGCCACGCTCGCCTCTAACCAGTCCGACTTCCATGAATCACAGAATGCCTCATCAGACTGCACGCCCTTCCAAACCGAAAGCATCAACTCACCTTGTGCTGTCCTTCCGCTTTGGTCAATAAGTTGGTGCCACTTCGGCACTACTGGTTTGTCATTTCGGGAACGCTCAGGAATGTCACTTAGGTCAAATGAGATCAACCCAACAGAATCATCTGTGAACCCGTCATAGACAACAACGTAGATTCTAGTTATCTGTGCATTGTCCAACTGGCGTCTGGAGAAAGCAAAAGTCGAGTTCCACTCTGGGTTCTGCTCCTCGGGTACAGAGTTTGTGATGCTTCTAAGGTTACCAGCATTTACCTCTACATATGGATCAGGCTTTTGGTCAACATCCACATCAGGCAAGCATCGAGCCTTTACCACACGTACAAACAAGTAGCATATACGCCCAACAATCACCCCATCTTCAAAGTTTGGTTGAATGTACTTGACTACAGCATCCGCGGGTGCCTGTACAGGAAGTCCCAGAACAGGAGAGGGTATAACTTGTGAGACAGGGGCTTCATTTTTCAGAAATACTCTAAGAAGCAACACTCCCTTCGATCGCTTGAACATCCGACCCTTCAACTGATAGTCTTTGACAATTTCATCAGATGAGTCAGAAAAGCTAGCCCCAGAAATCCGGACCTTACCAAGGAAAAACTGGTAGCCATCAATGACATTATAGACATAAGCTTCAAGAGCAAGAGAAGGAAGCCTTTCCTTGTCCAGCACATCAAACATGGTCTTCTCGGACCATACAGGACATCGAACCTTCCTCTTGACCGTCGTAGTGAAACTTTGGCCAGCAAAACGAAGCTCAACACAGGGACTCGGTAGCTCAAGACTGTCCGAAAGGCCATTGGCGCTTACAACTTCCACAGAGAGTTTCTGTCTCAACATTATTTCTTCAAATATGACCTGATTATGGCCTGCAAAAGTTAATAAGAATTTCATAATTTCTTCGAACTGGATGATGGCCTAGGAGAAGAAATTAGATCTTTCAAAAAGACACAGCAAACAGTAGAATACCACTACTAGAAAACAAAAAGATCAAATTATAACATACTATTAGGTATGCATATTTTGAAATCATTCTAAATACAATCAGCATATCTTCTGAACCATGTTCGAATAAATTCTGACAAATGTATATCTGGATCCAGACAAAAGCTAACTGAAACGGACAAGTAATCTCACCAATCATCCGATCGTGTCTAATTGATTCCACGGATAAAGAAAATATATGGGCCTGCGTTTTGGATTGAACCTAGTAAAAGTCTCAGGGAAAGGATTTCCGCGAGGAAAACTGAAGCACCTGCACGGCCGAATGGCACGGCGCCATCGGTGGCAGAACTCGCTCAGCTGCTGCTCCCGGTCGCCGCCGCGACAGGGACTGCAGCCACGCCCTCGCCTGCGCCCGGCTTCCGTCCGCATCCCCTTGCTCGGACGGCGGATGCGGTCGCAATGGAAGCTGCGGAGCCGATGCCGTCTGCCGGCATCCGAAGCGGAAATTAGAGGCATGGCTACCTACGGCAGCGTCTAGTTTGAGGTTACGGGAAAAAAATCTTATACGACCGGGTCGTACGGTTCATCTCATGAGACCCCATCGACCAGCTGACACGTGGATTTACGAATCTCAAAGCAACAAAGAAAAAAACAACGTCTTCTTCTCCTCTGCGAAATCCCCATGTCGATTAGAATTCGGCACGGCGACGACGGCGAGCTTCCTCCGGCGCGGCAGGATTCTTTTCTCTATACCGACGTAGGTGGGGTCAGCAGCCCCTGCACCCCCGGCCCGCCCGTTGTTGACGCACTTGCGTCGCCGCGCGTCAGCTCGCCCGCCGCCACTCGGAATTGGGGTCAGCGGCGGAGCGGAGCACGGGTCGCAGTTACCACGGCGGTAGAGTAGGTACACCGTACACGGGGATTTTTAGGTTTTGATGATTTGCCCTTAGAAATTTCTGTAGAACGTTTTTTACACTACACTAATATCAAAAACGTTCTTATATTATAAAACGAAGGGAGTATTACATAAAATACGTATAAACAATTACGTAGATGTAGCATTACTCCTTTCTTCCCCACCAAAGTTTTTCCTTACTGGATTTCAACATGAATTTCAATTAATTTTAACATGGGTTTACAAAATGAATTTATTATTTACTAGTTGAACTACGAGTTTTTCATCCTCTTGAAAGTGACCTCGTATACGGCAAAAGCTTCGGCTGCCGTGACTTTACGACCACGAGGTCAACCAACACATGTGCGTCTTTGATGCAGGATAAGGCCATATTCTTCAAGGTTGCCGTGAGCCCCACGTTTATTTCTACCTTTTCTACTTAGACGGTCATAAACATGCGGTCAAAGTAGTCAAGAGCGGGGGGTAGGCGGGCGCATCGGTGGCATATTCAGCCTTACGACGTACTCCCTCCGTCCGCGAATAAGTGTACATCTAGGTTTTATCCTAAGTCAAAGTTCTAATACTTTGACCAACTTTATAGGAAAAAGTAGTAGCATTTATGGCACTAAATTACTATCAATAGGTTCATTTTGAAATGTAGTTTCATAATATACCAATTTGATGTCATATATGCTACTATTCTTTTCTATAAAGTTGGTCAAAATTTTAAAACTTTGACTCACGATAAAACGTAGAAGTACACTTATTCACGGACGGAGG